ATACAGGATTGGTCAACTAATCAGATTTCTAGGATTAATTACAGAATCAATCTAATATTGCGTACAGCTCATGCACACAATTATGATTGCTGGATAAGAGTTGCTGGTGCATTCACAAATGCTTAGGAGAAGTAGGTTCTTGTTCTTTATGTGTTTCCTTCCCAGGATGGTACTCTTTAAAAGCTTCATGAGTAATTGACATTGTGCAATTAGTTTAGCTACTTATCCAATATCTTTTTAGACTAGTGGAAATATGCCCACATAAAAACCATTAATGACAAACAAGCTATGGTTTGACTTTTATACCTACTTCTAGAAATGGAATGAACAAAACTTCTTAGTTTTCAATGTTTTCTTATGCTGTTGGGAAACTATATGATTGTATAATGGATATCATTTGAAGTGTTTCTTGTTTTCTGTTTATAGGAGAATAAGACTACCATTAAATAGACGCCTTCTCTTGTCGTTTTTCTTTCTCGGATTAACTGGGTAAGTCTAGAGTCTTCTAAGCTCTTCAGTATATCTTGTTACTTTGACTATCTATTTCTATATGTGGTTCTTCATGAAGTGATGACTTACTGATCAATTTATATGGTTTCCCTTCTATTAAAATTGGAATAGGATTTTTGGGAACCAGCTTTTGTTTCTTATGGGTCTTTCCTACACAAATCCCACTTATGCTGCAGCCATACAACCTGCAATTCCTGTATTCACATTTATATTGGCTGTGACAATGGGGTCAGTTTAATCAATTCTTACCCTTATCTAAATAGTTTCTCTCTCTCTCCCTTTCTCGTGTTATGTACATGTACAAACAAGCATGCCTGCATTTTTCTATGTTTTCCTCTCTCACTTTTGTGTGTGTACATTGCTTCCAAATATACTGTTTTTGCTTGTCCGGTATCATATTTAAATTTTTTTAATGCAGTACAGAAACAGTGAATTTGCTCCGAACTGAAGGTCAGGCAAAGTTTGGTGGTACACTTGTATGTGTCTCTGGAGCTATTTTAATGGCTTTGTTCCAGGGCCCGGCTTTGTTTGGATATGGAGAGACAGATTTCACTGTACAAAGTCAAATAAGTGCCAGGGGGCCAGAGCCTGCTGGATGGTTGATGTCTAGTTTTCTGGATTTTGGGATTAATCATTGGCACCTTGGTGTCTTATGCTTAATAGGAAACTGTATTTGCATGGCAGCTTATATAGCCATTCAGGTATTAATTGTCTTTCCCAATTTTAACCCCGGGTGGTGGGGCTGAAAACTAGAGCAAGCTTGTTTCTCTTGACCTGGGAAACAACTTTTTTTTGGGTAAGCTATTGTGAATTAATTAACCCAATGCTGGAAATCCATGGAGCAATTTAGAAATAAGTGATTTCTAGATTGTTTAAACTTCACATGGTAAAGTTAAGATGCTCAACTTGTTATGAGCTATGGTATGTGGGATTGAGTACTTTTGCTAAGTGTCAGTGTGTTTCTAGGTTTCAGATCCATTCAATTATCGTATCTAAAGATATAGAGATACGATAGGTGATTGCACTATATAGTTGCTATGCACAATTTTTGTTCTAAACTGTAAATGAAAATGACATATAAATATCCATGAGGCATAACCATAGGAAGAACAAATGAAGAAAGTAACCTAAGGAACACTTGTTTCTTTCCTTTGGTTTACCTATGTCATGAGTCTGGCCAGGCCCGCAGGCATATCTTAGAAATACCTGTATACATAACAGTTATATGCTGTGCTTAAGATGAGAAATTTTCTACATTTGTTACTAATTATAGAGAGTTTCTTTAAATCATCCAGTGAGATGAGATATGGTCATTTTTTGTTACATTTTTTTTGTGCTGAGTTTCCATTTGTTTATTTTATAGCAAACTAATAGGAAGAATGCTATTGCGTTTGTGGATTTGACTTCATAATTTTTTCTTATCTTTCTGTTTGTAATGGTCTTTTCTGCTTTTAATGATGCATCACCATTAGAGTTGGGCCATTTTTTTTTCTTTTCCAAACTGTCTGTGTGCATCCACCAGAATATGTGGATAAACGTCAATATACCACTGGCTCTTCTTGTGTGTATGTGTCTTAGATGTCTTGGACACCATTTCAAAATCAAAATTCATTTTTGTGTAATTATTTCCTGAACATGTCCTGCTATCTAGTATATGTAGGGTTTTAAACCTGTTATTGCCATTCACCAGAATTTAGATGGAATCGTAGTGTTCCTTTGCTACTAAATGTTTCTAGGAGCCTGTTCTAATTCAGATGAACTGGGTTTGCTTTTCAGTTGTCGGAAAATCATTCTTGTTCTGTCATGGGATTAGTTCAGAACTGCAGGTTTATAGTTTGAGATTCTGTATTCTAATCTCAGGCTCCAGTATTGGCGAAGTATCCTGCAAGCTTATCAGTAACGGCATATTCATACCTTTTTGGTGCAATTTTGATGGTAGTAACTGCATTCTTTATGACCAACAATTCAACAGACTGGAGATTGACGCTATCTGAGGTTCTTGCAGTATGCTATTCGGTAGGTTTCTTTTGTTTTCAAACTTTTATTTTCACTTGTGTCAAGGAAACCATGCATCAAGTTTTCTGATCACTACTATATTTGCCTTGGTCAAAAGTAGAGTCACTGGAAAACATTCATACCGCCTTGGTTACATTTCAGAACACTATTTCTAAATGGGATGTGTCTTTATCATATTTGTTGTTTCTCTGTGCTCTATAAGTACATATTGTTTAATAATCATCGATGTTTTTTTCCAAAAAATAATCACTAATATCTAATATACTTCAAAGCAAATGGTAAAAGCTTGGACAGTTGGGCTTCCAAAGCATGAGCATACAGGTTTGAGATTAAATGTAGCCAACATGTGCCTGTGGTCTTTTTTAGAGATGACCCAATACGTTCCAATAACATGCTCTACATTACAGTACCCTGTCTTTGCATGTTTTATTTATTTATTTGTTTATTGTACTCTTTTACTTTTTCCAGAAAGTATATACTTGTTTATTTTTTCACTTGCCAAATTTTAGCTGGCCAGTATGTTCCTGATCTTATACCTTCCATTGAGTGTACCCTCTGCATAATGTTTCTGAAAGATCTGTTAAATCATTTTGTTTCTAGTTTTCTCAGTTATGATTTTGTCCGACTCTGAGAGTGGTGTTGTAGCATGTTAGTTTTTGAGATCAATTTTGGAGTGCTGATGATTTTTTAGACTGTTAGTTATTCAGGCTAATGTTATTCAGACTGTTAGTTACTCAACCTTTTGCCAGAAATTGAGGCATTGGTAATTTGTTGTTGGGATTAGAACAATTTTCTCATCTGGCTGAGGTGATTGTTACACCTTTATTGGCCAAGGCAGCATTGACAAATGCAAGCTGAACTGCTGTTTGGTTCTTACCTTGCTTGCCAAGCCTCTTAAATTGATATACTTCTCACACAGTTTGACACAGTCACCAATATTTAGTTGAGAAAGAAATTATGATGGGAAATTGCGCAGGCCTCCAAAGAGGTGAGAGAACTGTGGAGTGATGACTATTCTAGGCAATTTTCCCATTTTATTCCTAATCATACTAGTATTAGAAAGATTACCTTTATTTAAAAACAACCCAATTATGATATTATTGACTCATTAACTAATGATATCATTGGTAAAGAGTATTGTTAAACTCCCTCGAAAACAGTGGAGTTGCTTGTCAACTCAAACAGATTGAAGGGGGGGGGGGGGGTCCGGTTGGTTTACTAGGGTGATACTCAATCTGGTTCTAAACCACCCTGTATCCGAAGGAGATGCAAGTTCAAGGAAGTAAAAGAGTTTTAGGGTTTTCAACTGAATAAGGAGAGAGTAGAAATCTCTCTTTTGGGAGTTTTTTTTTTTTGGTTTGGACTGGAGGTGGATCTCTTCTGACTATAGCTATTGCCAAACAGGTTGATATACAATAAAATTTCAATAAAACATGTTATCAGCGCCTTGCAGTATTATATTAGGCCATGAATAATTAATAAATATATATTTCAATTCAAGGAATTCATTACGAGCCTATCTAAATGGAATAATCACAAACCTTTGATGTTGCTGATTATAACTTTCAAAAATAGGATCGTTAATCTTGAAGGGGTCCCCGCTTGGTGCATTGTTGAAAGCTTGAGCTGATCATCGTGAGGTTGTTGTAGCCCATTGCCCAAATTATATGCCTCCACAACTCGCAACGAAAGATCACCCAAATATCTACAAAAAAACAAATATTCCATGGAAATCTCTAATCAAGCCCAAAGAACAACTGAGATAAGAAAGAAAATTTCAACTTATGAACATGAAATTCCACCCACTTAAAACTCTATAAAGGATATCCTATTCCTCTATTTTCTATCCATCACATAAGACAGAGGAGCCATGGTGCATCTAGAAGTGGAGGATGCTATTATATTTTAACTGTGTGGTGTGGAGCTGCTGACTCAGCCAAAGCAAGACTTGTTGAGTATGCTTGGTCTTATTGGCTGAGCAAGTCCATTCCCTCATCCTGTTTCTAGATGTTGCTTACCTTTCTATAGTTTTGTTTCCCATTTTCAACCTTGTAGAACAGTGTTATCAAAATCTCGCCTTATAACCTTGTGGAAGACTCTGCTCTTCTATAATCATCTGTACTTGGATTGCACATGTTTTGACCATGGTTTAATGACTTACTTTATGGAATGAGGGAAATCCTCTTGTGAAGCTGCTAGAGGTGTTGCAGCTATCTATAGCAGGTTCTGTATATTGATTAACATAACTTCAAATCAATGAAAATATACCTGTGGAAATTAGTGTTTGACTGCAAGATCATGTGTTTACATGCATGTATTGCCTATAATATTATCTATTTTTACATTGTGTACTTGCGATTTTTGACTGAATGAGCTAACATCATGACTTGCTGCTAACCTAAGAAGAATTATTTGAAAACTATTCTCTTGTTTGTTTTACTAGGGACTAGTGGCATCTGCCCTGAACTATGGATTGTTGGCATGGTCCAATAAGATCCTGGGACCTGCTTTGGTTGCTCTCTATTACCCACTTCAACCCGCTGCATCTGCATTCCTGTCAGCAATTTTCCTCGGAAGCCCTATTTATTTGGGAAGGTTATACTCCAAAACCTGAGACTTGCACTGATATCTTTACCTTTTCTATGTCTCTAGGATGATAATTTACACCAATGTACCTTGAATATCTCTATTTTGTTTGGTTGAGGGATAAATATGGGTGAGGAAAAACATCCATACTTTTGAGGGCACATAAATAGGTTTCTCGGACTAACACTTGGTCTAATTTTACATATGCTAAAACAGCATCCTGGGAGGACTTTTAATTATAGCTGGGCTTTATTTGGTCACTTGGGCATCCTATCGAGAAAGACAGGCAGCCATGGGGATTATTCCTCAAGTTTCTCATGCCTCTGATCCGCTGATTCACAGGGACTCATCCCTCGGCAACATCGCATACCAGACATGACACATTTTCTCAGGGCCTTCCACCTCAAATACCAAAGATCATGGATTAAACCAACATATATGATATCACTGTTTTCAAATTTTGTATTGAAGTCAACTCCATAGAAGAAATTTGTATCATTCATCAAGGGTTATATTGTCAAAGGATGCATTCTTGCGGTAAGTTTTATGTGCAAAAGCATGATCACTAGGAACCCTTTCTTTCAGGTGACTTCTTTATTCTGCGCAATTTCTTTATTTTCTCATGCACTAATTAATTAATTTGTAATCATTGATTGTGAAAATGATAAAGTAATGTAAAATAATAAAATAAGTTATTATTTTGCACGTGTCACACTTTTATTTGATGAAAAATAGAGGTACTAACTGGAACCAGAGAAGGTGCATTGCTTGTATTCAAAAGAGCAAGAGCAACAATTACAAGAACTCACATACGAACTGTGCACTTGCAAATAGAAGCAGTAAAGCAGATCATCCGAATACTAACTAAATGCAAAACCTTGAAAGGGATGGCATGTTGAAACTCACATTTTCTGTATTCTAATCCTCAAAGCACGTACCAGATAGCAAAAGCAGGGCACAAAAATAAGTACAAATATCTGCCCCAGCTATAGCCAATCATGGAATTGCTATGCCTAGAAGCTTTCATAATTCAGTTCAATACATAAGAACTCCCCGCATCTCCGCATGTGGATACAACCTCGACACACGTGGCTACGTACATATGTGCCTCACTAGCCCTCACACTGTTTGAGTGTCGTGTACTGAGCTGAATAAAAATTGTCGGCCTATGGCGGGGAACAGAGCAATTAGTAGAAGAAAACTTGGCATTCCATCTGTATCCAAATCCCATGTGCAATACCTGTTCTATTCACACATTTTATCAATCTTACTCTCAAGATGTGTACCTCCCACAAAAAAAACTGCACTTCATCTTATACAGTACCTTGATAGCCTCGACGCAGAGCCCGTGCTGTATGAAACCATGAAGCATTGCATCCCAACATGCAGCATTTATCTCAAACACCCTTCTTGCATCTTTCACCAACCCAAATTTCCCATACATGTCAACCAATCCACACTGCACATAACTTTTCAAATTAACCCCTAAATTTATCGCGTTGGCATGGACTTGTTGACCACAATATCCACCATCCCTCATCTTCCCACATGCCTTGAGAACGCTAGAAAACGTAAAGCTATTCTTCTTCACACTTCCCTCCCCATCTCTTTAAACACACTAATAACTTCATCGAAGCACTCTTCCTTACAATAATTGACAATGTTCGCTGTCCAATCAACTGAAACGAGGTCAGCACCTTCTAGACATCCCAGTTTTTCGTTTAAATTAAACCAAGGAGCTTCTCAAAAACAAATTCCTGGAATAGCCTGCCTTCTTTAGCCAACCATGTATTAGTCTCCCGGATGTCAAGTTCACTGTATGCATTCCACAATCCATGAAACCGAAAATTTGAGAATTCCTTCATTATACTGGTATTGGAACCGGTGTTTGTGTTGCAGGTCATGTATGGATGGTGATTTATGCTATGGTTGTTGAAGGCGGTGTTAACACGAAAATTGGACAGCTTTTGGATATGGTGCTGTGACCGTGAGTTCCATTAGTTTAGGTGACAGACCATTTTTGTGTTTGATAATCAAATACTATGTGAACTAAGTGAATTTTACTACCACATTCAATAACTTCTATGTTAGAATAGTAAAGTTCACTTATCTTATATGGTATTTTATTATTAATTAGTGATATCACATGACTTGACATGATTTCAGTGTTTTTGTATTATGTCATCATAAATAGTACTCAATTCATATGGGGTTGGTTTGGTTCGGTTCGATTTGAATAATGTATACTAGAAAAAAAGGGATTAAATAAGAAAATACGATTGAATTGCATACACATACTTGGCCTGCATAGATTCCAGGATACAGCATCATGAGTGCAATCATAAAAAAGTGGTGTATATGTAGGACTTCGTACATAAACAATTCATTGTCATTTAATGTCCCGTCTAATTTTCTCTCACGTCTAATTTTCTCTCAAGTAACATTGTCAAAACTTTCAAGTTCCATGAAGACATGTAGATGGAAAGTGCAACGTTTGTTATAGTCTCCTTAATTTTGACGGAAATCTTTGAACATTGATGTAAGTGGGTGGAAGATTTATGGTACTAGAGCAGTTTTTTGGCATATTTATGGGCTTCATCTACTAAGCCGAAAGGATTTTTAGGGACTTTGATTTTTTTAATATTTGTAGAATGGAGATCGAGCTTTATATGACTCAGAATTACTACGTATTGCTTGTTGCTATTTTTTCCTTAGGTTGAACATCTCGTCCACCATACATTATTTTCCGATGTAACACTTTTTAAATCACTAGTGTTCCCTTTTTTTTTTTTTTTGGGTATAAAAAAATGTCTAATGCATTATCCATTGTGACTGGCAATGCAGTAAACAAGTTACACAGAGCACATACATAAACATAATTGACTATGCCTTTATGGTTATAACTCAAAAACAACCATTGGACTTTGCGTCAAACAGACATATATTTAAATGATCATTCTCCACATAACTGATTGAATGTTACGCAGAAAGGACTTCAAATTCATGTGTTTATCACAACTAATTCAAAATAAATTGACCAATCACTTCGATAGTTGTGTTGAGACTGCAAAACTTAAACACCTCGCTTTCTACTATATTGTTGGACCTTAAAGTTGCGACATAAAAAATTAGGATTAACACATGAAATTACTAAAAATATTAAAGTAATTCCAAACAACTTTATTTTATAACAGTCTTGCAAGATTGGGTTGTAACTTCATTTTTATTTTTAATAGTATCTCTTCAATGTTAAAATGCAAGTTGGTGTATGGTAATCAGACCCAATTTTGAATTGTATTCTAATTTTACCGTCCAAAGTAAAGTCGTCATATGAAGTAGAAGCAAGACAGAATAATTGTCATGCTTCAATTTTCGTATATGCATGAAAATATTATTTAAACATAATTTGGAGACCTAATTCAATATAATTGCAGGACATTTTTGTCAAGTGGGTCCACCAACCCCACTCCCAATGAACAAATTGACATATATCATAAGTGGGACCCACTACAATAAATAATGACAGGTAATAAGTGTTTCGACAGTCTAGTGTATGTCTATTTCCCTGCATTAACGGCTGTACAGACTATGGTAAGAAGCTTTTTAATCTTCTCTATATATATGGGTGAATGACCCAAGAAAAAGGGGGTCTCAAGTATGAGCACCTCGGCTCCATACTCCACACACACACATTTTACCATTTCCTTAATTTTATACATTAGTTATTCATGTGTTGATCGCGATACTGACTTAGGTATTGAAGGAGCCTCCCCTGGCTCAACGTCGGGGGTCCTTCTAACCTCTTTCTGTCTTGCAGCTCACGGATTGGATTATACTCGAAGACTAGGGCGCTCCTCGAGATATCTCAAACTATTGCAGGATTTATCTCGTGCAATTTGACGCCGTTTGTGGGAAACGATATATGTACGCTCCAAAATCTTGTATCTCTGGTCCGTGAGTGCTGTCCAAACCTTGTTATGATTCGTGCATCCTTGCGTTTTCGGATCCAATCAGTTTATGAAGCTCAGACTCAATTCTCTCCCATCCATGGGTACTCGGCCTTTGTAGCAAATTGGTATGATTACTACATTATATTGGCTTGTCCTCTAGTGCAAGGAGACATTCTGCCACTGACTTTAGCTTTTGCTCGGTGTCCAAAGAAGAGGTGTATCGGCACTAAGCCAACATAGGGGCCAATCGATGTATCACTCGTTTGGGATGTCTATGGAACTCGGGTGTTTTTATGTTCTGCGGATGGGTTTCAGCAAACAAAGATAAGCAAGTTGTGTCGATGTGCACATAACAGTCCCACATAATTGATGTATCAAAGAGTCCTGGGATCTGAAAAATATTTTGACCATAGAAGAGCAGTCGATATTTGATAACTCGGCTGGTGGGTTTCTTCGTATTTGTTCACTCGTGGAGCTCAGGATACACTCATCATTATTTCGCATGATTATCCACGTCGGAATATCTCTTATATATTTATGCAAGAGTTCAGCGAATACGAAGATAAGTGGTCTCCCTCCACTTATATTTAAATAAAATTCAAATAATGCCATGTAGGCCACCATATGAAGCATAGAAGTATAGTCTTTCTGTGCTGCTAGCATATGTAAAGTGCAAACCAGTAAAGTACCCAACACAGTTTCTCCCTATGGGGTTGTTAGTGCAGCTTGGTCTCACTTTAAGTGCCGACTTATGGTGCATGAGACCCATAACTCGTCATTCTCTTACAAGTACAACCAGTTTAAGCTTAGGCAGAGAGCAAGTTCGCTTTGGAGAACCACATTTTGAAGTTTCACCATTAACAAAGACTAAAATGATTGTCGTATTTACTCCAGTGTCACTTGACGAAGATTACACTTGCTCACTTGACAAATCTATGCATGTAAACACAAGCACACAGATAGCAAAAATCATGGAGTTTTGCCTAATATGACTAACAGGGAGCAAAGCTCCTTTAGTACAATTGTTTTTGATGTCTTAGTGTTGCAGGGCTGACTTAGGAGTACTGAACTCGGTTGGTCCATCTCTTCATCATTGGGGTGATCTCAGGGTTGCCTGCAAGTTTGGGTGAATCACTAAGTAGTGATCGGTCTCACCTCCGGAAATCCAGAGGGGCTCAATATCATCAGAAAGAACGACCTCCCCAAAGTCCTTCAAACTAATTAGCCTGCAACTCTCTCCCTCAAGGAGCCGTTCCTTTGGACATTCAATCAAGCATCGTGGCATGCTTATCGACACACTGGTGTAGAGTTGCAGTACAGTACTTGACACAGCTACAAGCTTATAGATGATTCGACGTTTATGAACAAACTACACATCACTCACCATGAAAGTCATCTTCGCCTATCGTTATGGGGTTGTTGCAAAGTCTGAACCAAGGTGGTCTTGACAATCGAGTCAAAGAATGAGTGTTTATGGGAGCAAGAAGGTCATAGGCTTCTACTACTTAAAACCCACTTAGCTCGCGATAAGTTATGCAATTGCTCAGACTTAGAAAATCCATGTGCTTGGTCGGTACATTACCCAGC